AAAAAAAGTCTTGATTTCCAGCTGGTTTCAGTAAGGACACAAACAGTTTACAACTGCCATGCAAAATACGCTATAATCCCCCAAAACTGGACTTAACTGGGGGAGACATCCACCCTCCCAATGCAATATTATTTGCCTAAATGTAAAACCTTACTTTTTCACCATTGAATTTCATTTTGTTAGATAGTGCCCAATGTTCACGTATAACTGATTGCACTACATATTATGTTATGTTTCCTTAGTTGCCTAGCCCCATATGTATATATGTATTCAATTTACAATGTATTGACCAACTCAGTTTGGCATCCATTGTACTCATTTCTCCCATTTCTCTCTCAACCTTGTGAAATGCACTAAATTAAGGAATGGCTGAGCCACAGTTACCCAGTGGATTTCACCTCAGGTTGGATGGAAGAGCATGGCTCTTTCCAATTCCATTCCAACAGCTCATGGAAACCTAGAAATATTTACCCACTTGTGAGTTAACAATCAGGTAAGAGTTGACACTTCATAAATTTCTTCTGGCACTCACTGATTATTTGTTTCATTGCTTTTTCTTTTCATTACTAAATGAAACAATGATTTTTTTCTTTAAGGTAAATTGCCTTGAGTGAACATTAGCTTTAGTTTGAGCTTTAGATGACTGTATATTTCTCCCTTCTTTCTCAACCAAATTTTCATTATTCTGATCCTGAATTTCAACACGGTTCTTCTAAGATTGAATTTGATTTGTTGTCTCATTTCAGATCAGGTAGAGGGGATATATATTTGCTAGATTGCTTACACATAGAGTCTCTGGTTTCTAGTAACTCTGGTTATTTTGCTCTCACTCAAAGCCGTGATATACTAACCACAAGCATCCAGATTGCCTTTAGTTTCCTCATAAGAATGTGACTGGCTAAGATCAAAGGTAAATTACACCAGTGTTTTTCAACCTTTTTTGTGCAAAGACACACTTTTTTCATGAAAAAAAACACGAGGCACACCACCATTAGAAAATGTTAAAAAAATTTAACTCTGTGCCTATATTGACTATATATAAAGTG